ACATTGCATCTAATCAGATTTTGCTTGTTGGTCATAGAATAGGAAACATTTACATGGTGCATTTAGACTCTATCGTTATGACTAATTTATGCCTAGTTGCTAAGAATGATCATGATAGTTGGTTATGGCATAGGAGACTAGGACATACTAGTATGAGTGTTTTGCAACGGCTGATTCAAGGTGATTTAGTTCGAGGGTTGCCTAAACTAAATTTGATAATGATAAATTTGTGATGCTTGTGCTAAAGGAAAACAAAAGCGAATTTCTTTTAAATCCATTAATGATGTATCAACTAGTAGAGTATTACAATTGATCCATTTAGATCTTTTTGAGCCAACTAGGACTACTAGCTTGGGTGGAAAACAATATGCATTTGTCTTGGTAGATGACTATTCTAGATATACTTGGGTTCTATTTTTAAGTACTAAAGATGAAGCATTAGAAAAATTCATCACGTTTTCAAAAGTAATCTAAAAAGAAAAAGGTTACTCTATAACTAGTGTTAGGAGTGATCATGGAATTGAATTTGAAAATCTTGGATTTACTGATTTTTGTAATTCTAATGGTATTAGCCATAATTTTTCAGCACCTAGAACCCCTCAACAAATGGAGTTGTTGAAAGGAAAAATCGAATTTTAGAAGAAATGGCTAGAACCATGCTTTGTGAAAACAATTTGCCAAAATATTTTTGGGCGGAAGCCACAAATACCGCTTGTTATGTTATTAATCGAGTAATGATTAGACCTATTTTAAAGAAAACTCCATATGAACTTTTCAAAAATAAAAAGCCTAACATTAGCTATTTTCATCCTTTTGGATGTAAATGTTTTGTTTTAAACAACGGTAAAGACAATCTTGGCAAATTTGATGCTAAAGTGATGAAGGAATTTTTTTGGGTTATTCCTTAAATTCTAAAGCTTATCGAGTATTTAATAAAGAATTTTAGTTGTAGAAGAGTCTATACATGTTGTTTTCGATGATAACCTCCTTCCGAGAAAGGATTCTTGTGTGAATGATGATGTAGGCATTATAAATACAAATAACGTTAGACATGACGTTGGAGAACCATCATCAAAGGAAGAAACGAAAAAATGAGGAAACTCATGATCCTCTCGAGAATCCAACCATTGAAGAAAGAGAAGTATCTTATCCAAGAGAGTATAACTATGTCAAGGATGGTGAAATCATAGGTGATCCATCCAAAGGGGTAACAACTCAATCTTCTCTTAGAAATATATGTAATTATGTTGCATTTATCTCATGCATTGAGCCTAAGAATATTAAATAAGCATTAAATGATGAACATTGGATTATGGCTATGCAAGAAGAGTTAAATCAATTTGAGAGAAGTAAAGTATGGACATTAGTTGAAAGGCCTAGTAATAAATCTACTGTAGGTACTATGATAGGGAAGCGGTGGCGGATTGATGAACGTTGCTCTTATTGAAGAATCAAACCTAGAAAAGATCTAGACTCGATGAAGAATAATAAGGGATGAATGGGGAAGGTGGCGGCAATAGATAGGGTTCTTTAGGGTTTCTTTTTTGTGCTGAAAACAAGATAAAAAATAAGATTAAAACAAGATAAAGAAAAGATAAAGGAATTGCAAATAAAATAAGATAACCAAGAAGTCAAAAGATCTCCCTTATGAAGGTGAACGGTAAAGATGATTGATGACGTGGATGGATATGTGGAAAATCAATGGATAATGTCCTATCGAGCCCTCCTAGTCGCAATGAAAAGGAAAACACGATAATATGCCTCTAACCAACCCTCCTAGTCGCGATGAAAAGGAAAATTGGACTGTGAAGATTAATCTCCCTCACAAGAACTTGAAAGAACTCAAGGAGAAGAAGCTTCGAAGGCACAAGGCAATCAACACTTGCAAAAACGAACTCTCGTTGTATTATTAATCAAAGAAATCTTGAATTACAAAGTTTAATGAAGCCTCCTTTATATAGGGGTTGAGTTCTAAAGGTTCTAAATAACTAATGAATAAAATAATAATAAACTAAACATATCTTAACTCTAATACCTAATAAAATAATAATAACTAAAGATAATATTTTTAACCCAATCTTAATTCCTAATAAAATAATAAATCTAATCCTAAAAGATAATGCATCATCCTATATTAAGTTATATTACAAATAATCAATAAAAATATTGAAAATTCGAAATATTTACAAAATCCCGTATATGATTTTCTACATGCACCGTCTTTAGAAAAATAGCCATATCTTGAGTTCCCGATATCGGATTGATGCGATTCAAGAACCGTTAGAAAGATAAGAGACAGACGGTCGTATCTCCATAAGACATCTTGACTAAATAAGATTAGGATCCTATTCAAAAAGTCATCATAAGTCTGATTCTATTCTGATCTTCTTTTCCAATGCTTGGACGAGTGGATCATTTGGAATAGTTATTACTTCTTCCTTTGATGTGAGCCTTGTGATGCATGTATCATACTAGATGAGTGTTTAGGAATAAGCTTGATGAAAGTGGTAATATAGTGAGAAACAAGGCTAGACTTGTTGCTCAAGGCTATACTCAAGAAGAAGGCATAGATTATGATGAAACATACGCTCCCGTAGCTAGAATGGAAACCATTATAATGTTATTAGCATTTGCATGTTTTCATGAATTTAAATTATATCAAATGGATGTTAAAAGTGCATTTTTAAATGGTTTTATAAAGGAAGAAGTGTATGTGGAACAACCTCCATGTTTTGAAGATTTAAAATTTACAAATCATGTTCTTAAATTGACAAAAATACTTTATGGTTTAAAACAAGCTCCTAGAGCTTGGTATGAAAGATTGTCAAATTTTTTAATTGAAAAAGGTTTTTCAAAAGGGAAGGTTGACACTACGTTGTTTTTAAAGCATAAAGGTAAAGATTTATTAGTAGTTCAAATTTATGTTGATTATATAATATTTGGTTCTACTAATGATGTTCTTTGCCAAGAATTTTCTAAGCTAATGCAAAATGAATTCGAGATGAGCATGATGGGAGAGCTCTTATTTTTCTTGGGACTCCAAATCAAGTAAAGAAAAGATGACATCTTCATCAATCAAGCTAAGTACGTTAAAGATATGCTCAAGAAGTTTAGACTGAAAAATGGGAAGCCACATAACACTCCAATGAGCTCATCAACAAAGCTTGACTTAGATGAAGGAGGTAAATGTGTGGATGTTAAATTATATAGGTCAATGATTGGCTCTTTGATTTATCTAACTGCAAGTATACCGGACATTATGTTTAGTGTTTGCTTATGTGCTATATTTCAATATTGTCCTAAGGAATCACATTTACTAGCTGTTAAAAGAATCTTTAGATACCTTAAGGACACTCCTAGTTTAAAACTTTGGTATCCTAGAGACTCTAGCTTTAGCTTGCATGCCTTTTCTGATGCGGATTATGGAGGATGCAAATTAGATAGGAAAAGCACCTCCGGTACTTGAAAATTCCTTGGAAATATGTTGATTTCTTGGTTTTCAAAGAAACAAAATTGTGTTATATTATCTACCACTGAAGCGAAATACATTTCAGTCGGTAGTTTTTGTGCAAAAGTTTTATGGATGAAACAACTGGTATCAGAGCAGGTTGCAGGTTCGAATCCCCCAGGTGTCGTTAGGGGTGATTGTTGGGTTATGGGGTCCAGCGATCACCCTTAGGGATTCTATCGTATATGGGCGCGATATCGATGTGTGACTGCCCAAACCTGCCGAGGCCCACGTGTGCCTTGCGAAGCCCCTAGGCCCGCCCGCAGCACGCTATAGATGCGGGGCTCTGCAATGCCGTGGTGAACTATGGGGGTGCCCCACAAGAATCCACTTTGGCTTGGGGGAACCCAGTGTTCACCCACTATAAAGATATGAGGTTAAAATGACTCATCTACTTATCACCAATTGGTTTTAAGAAGGAATGGTGACCATTCGCTTCAGAACTCTGTGGTTAAGCGTGCTTGGACTAGGCAAATCCAAGGATGGGTGACCTACTAGGAAGTTGTTTGGAAATGAATGACTTGATCCTAACAGTTACTAATAAAAAATAATTTATGGGGATTTTTTTATTTAATAACGCCGAGGCATTTGGTGCCAAAATCCAAAAAACAAATAAAATACTAGAGTTATGGTATTAAAATTCATTTTAATTTTATGATGTTTTAATATTTTTAAACTTCTAATGTTGTTATTAAAGGGCAGGTTGAAGTGGACTTTTGTATAATTTACCGTGCAAATTGAAAAAACTTTAATTTCACGTGTATCCATCAATATTAATTAATTATGTTTATGACCTGACCTAGAATTAAAAAAAGGATAAATTAAAGTAATGATCACTCAATTACAACTACACGCGAATCATGTAGGTTATCTATGTAGAGTAAGTCAATGAAGCATATTTTTATTTTCCAATACTAATATTTCGTGAAGAATCATTACAAACTATAATTGTTTTAAAAATAAAAATGTCATAAATTTATAAATAATATCATTACATATCTTACGAGGCATATCTTTTGAAAATAATATAATGATTGATCACGTAACAAATGATATTAGAGTGACTATTTGATTACTTAGATTTCAAAATATTACGTTTTGAATAAATAAAAAACATTAATCCCATATTAGAAAGGAAAAAATTATGAAATTTATAAATAACAACTTTATACATATCTTATATATACTTGAATATATATATATATATATATATATATATATATATTGAAAATAAAGTAATAGCACGTAACATAGTGCCAACTTGATGTTTCAGTTTGTGGCCATTGTAAGTAAGTGAAAAATAAATTGGAGTTGACAATTTAAACGGAATATTTTGGAGTGTTATATTGACCAAGACAAAGATGAAGACGAGAAGCATCCAAGTCGTCGCGCGTGATACGATGACGAGTAAATCTCTACTTGTGTCCGTACAAGGGGATGGTGATATTAATGGTCGTCACAGACGTTGAGCAAATAATTGTGAAGGGGAAGAAATGTTTTTAAGGTTGTCGACGATGAAGCCACCACTACTGTGTTGTTCCAAATCCTTCTTCTTCTTCTTCTTCTTCTTCTTCTTATTTTCATGCAGTCAGTCCATTAATGCCCAGATTAATCCCACCACAGATCCTTCTGAAGGTACTCTCTCTCTCTCTCTCTATATATATATATATATATATATATATATATATATATATATATATATGCTAGTATTTTATCGAAAACCATATTAATATGTCGAAAACTATCCAACCACATAATTTATATGAATGACCGTATCCACTGATCAGCGACACAGAAATCTGATCTCCCTCGGCCGGCCTACTTTTCTTGCTCTCTCATCTTTTGTTCGTGGATAAATGGTTTGAAAAATGAAGTTTTTACTCTTATGTAAAGTGGTGTGTTAATTGGTTTTGATTTCTGAATTTAATTAGTTATAACAAGTGTTTTATCGAAAAATTTTAACGTGCGACAGTCTTAAAATACGGTTAAGTAAAGATGTTATTGGTTTTGTTATTATTATTTTAACAAAATTAGTAAAAAATTAACTAAAATATTATTATTTATACCTAAAATATTAATATTTTTTAACATTTTTGATAAAATATCCAATAATAATAAAATCGATAGAAAAAAATAATATTTTAGATAATATTTTACCATATATGTTAATAAAATAGGTAAAAATAATAATTTTTTTGATAATTTTTTTCTGATTTTATTTTAAAAAATAATAACAAAACCGTATATTAATACTGTAACACGTGAGACTTTCCCGTGATTTATTTTTTTCTTTAACTTTTTTACATTACCTTTTATAAAATTCGTAAAATATCTTTCACGAGTTATTTTTATATTATAATTAAATTATTCATTTTTCATTTCAAGCCTTCAAATCACATGATTATTGTATATATATAGGGTAAACTATTGGCCATCAAACTATTTATTCATTTTACTTTCGTCATTGATCTTTTAATTTTATCAATTAGATCATCTAACTATTTAAATGATATCAATCAAGCCACTAATCGTTGACTTTGGACGGAAATGATGACATGACAATTAACAAAATTAGTGTAATTATACATTTCATCCTTAGTAATTATACATTCTATCAATTTGGTTCTAAATTTAATTTAATTCAATAAATTTAATACACCAATTAGATGGTGATGTGTGTCACAATTAGATTAAATGTCACCATCTAATTGGCTGGATTAAATTTATTGAATTAAATTAAATTTAGGACTAAATTGATAAAATGTATAAGTATTGTGGATGAAATATATAATTACACCAATTTTATTAACTGTCACGTTAGCATTTCCGTCCAAAGTTAACGGTTAGTGACTTGATTGATATCATTTGAATAGTTAGGTGGTTTGATTGACAAAATTAAAAGATCAGTGGAGAAAGTAAAATGGATACATAGTTTGATGGTCAATGGTATAGATTACCCATATATATATATATATATATATTGAAACAATGATTATTGTATATTAAATATACTTAAATCTATAACTTTCGAGATATTGCAATTATAATAATACATAATCAATTTATATTTTATACAAGAAACTTCCCTAGGAAGTGGGAGGGGTCTAAACGCATCCTCCATTTTTTTAATTGTTTCTTAAATATATTTTGAAACTAAATAAAGTAAATGTTATTTATTTTTTATTTTAATTTTTTTAAGTTCTTACTAATTTTAAAATTTGTAAAATTATTATAATTAACATTTCCATGATTTTGAGTTTTAAGTCATATTAAAATTTTAATTAATTGATTAATTATATAACTAAGTATAGTGATGGATCTAGAAATTTAATATTAAGATCTAAAATTTTAATTTTAATTTTTAAAAATAATGGATATGCAATTTTTTTTTTATTTTTTTCTTAAAATATCAAGATAAATTTAATTATTTTCTTAAAATAACGAGATGTACTTGACCCATACGAGAGATTAATACATGCCATGATTACATATATATATATATATATAGCCATCATCATGATATCATTCCCATGATTCTAACTTGTATAGTTTGTCAATATGTTGAAACTTTTGAAGGCTTACATTGGTCATCGAGACTAAAGGTGGGTATACGGGTTACCCGTCCGTTTAGCCCGCGGGTTTTGACGGTGCGGGCTTAAACAGAACGGGCTAAAAAGCCCCCATTTATAAACGATTTTGAATTTTAAGGCCTGCGGCCCGTCCATTTAACCTGCTGGCTAAACGGGCTTACCCGCGACTCGTTTAATAAAAATAATTTTAATTGCTTTAAATGCAATAAAAAATAATGTTTTAACTTACTACACCTTTAAAAATGATCGAACAACTTGAAAAGGAAGCTAACACCGTCAAAATAATAAATAATATTTAAATTTTATTTTAAATAGTCGGAAATGATTATAAAATAATATTTTTTTAATTTTTTTAATCATTAATATATATATATATATATAATGATATAATTACTTAAACTCAAATTAAAAAAAATATTCACTTACATCACCAAATTGAAAAACAAATAAAACAATAACCACATTATACTTTTATAAAACACGATTATTCAAGGCTATAATATGAAGACACATAAGTGTCTGAAAGCAGAAATTCAAACATAAAAATTCAACAAAGTCAAACATTATACAAATCTAACAAGAAAGTTGTCAAATGTTCCTAATAATTGTATTTTATGGATACTTTAGAGAAATACTAAAACATAATATGAAAATATAAAATAAAATACTTACAGTATAAGAGTAAATTTGAAAGATACAGTTATACTAAAATTGATAAAATATAAGTCATTAATTTGTTAAAATATATTTATTTTGTAAAAGTCTTTAAAAGTTTAAAAGTATATTTTCAATTTTTTCTTTTACTTTTCTTTCTTATTTTTAATCCAAATATTACGTGTCATGTGATATATTATTAGAATATCACGTGACTTTTTATATTCAAAGAACAAAATGGATAACATACTTCATGAAAAAAATAAAAGTCAAAATTAAATAAAAAAATCTTTAAATACCAAAATGATAATGATGTATATTTAAATGAAAAAAATATCAAGCAACTGTAAAATTATGACAAACGCCCTAATAAATTTAAGAACTACAATAGTTATAAGTAACATCATATTTATAGGTAATTTATTTTATTTTTCTATAAAATTCTTTAAGTTTATTTTCTCTAAAATTTTATAAATTTTAAATTAAGCGGGCTTTAGCGGGTAGCCAGCGGTTATACCCATTAAACCCGCGGATTTAACGGTCCGGGCTAAAAAGCCCGTAATTTAAACGATCTTCAATTTTTGAGGCCCGAAACCCGCACGGGTCGTGGGTTAAACGGGTAGCCTGCGGGCCTTAGCCCATATACCCAGCTCTAATCGAGACTCTTTTTCAATATTATAATAATTTCTTTTAAGAATATTTGTCCATTGTCAATAAGTACAGAACCATACAGATTCATCACATTCTCAAACATTTTTCTAAGACTTGTTGACAGTTTCCCCAAATTGAATAACTCAATGACATATTATTATCTTTTTTCAGACACTTGTTTTGAAATTATTTAGAAATTATATGGTTGATTCGACCTAATTCGAGTTTAGATATGAGTTTTTTTAGCTTAATTTAATTTAATCCAATCGAAGTTGAATTTTAAGAAAATAATTTTTGAAATTAAGTATTTAAGAGTCTAGCTTAGAGAATTAGTCCTTTCAATATTTGATATTAATTTCATCCTTGATTCCTGCTATTGTGAACTGGTCCGGACATGGCATAATAATTATTAATATTTAACGAAAAAGTTTCTCTTTTATTATTTTTATTATTATTATTATTATTATTATCAATGTTTATAGTGATTACAGATATTGATAATTGGTAATCACCTAACATGATTATTATCTTTTCTTTCACCATTGGTTAAATGAATGGGGAAATAGTGAGGGCATTGAACTCAATCTTCCAACAGTGGGATACACAAGCAGCGAATACATGGAACACAAGTGGAGAGCCATGCACTGGAAATGCGCTCAGCCAAACTGATTCTGTTTTTGAGGATCGTCTCAATAACCCTGCTATCAGATGTGATTGTACTTTCAACAGTAATACCGTTTGTCACATTACTCGACTGTATGCTTTCTCGCTTTCTCATTCTTCTGCAATATTCTTAAGCCATTACTATCAGTTCTCAAGGCTAATTTGAACCAAAAGCTAGTCCATTCATGTTAGCTGGTTATAAGTTAAAATGGGTCTCCACTTTTCTCAGGAGGGTATATGCTCTAGATAAACGAGGAGTGTTGCCAGTGGAGCTTTTGGATTTGCCTTATCTCAATTTCTTGTAAGAATGTCCCTTTTCTTTTTTATTATTTACAGAATGAATACAGATTTTTAGAATGTTTACAGTATGTCTTCCAGTTATGGAAATGGTTAGTTTTGCAGTAGCTGATCATAATCATTTCTATTGTTTTGTTATGCAGAAAGATTGATCAAAACTTCTTCTATGGTCCCTTGCCAGCATTCATTGGAAATATGTCTAACCTAGGGTTATTGTGAGTACTCACATATAATCTTCGTATCAATGTTCGAATATGTGTCGGACACAAGTAGTAGTCTTAACAATGAGGTTACCTTAATCATCTTCAAACTAATGAAGGTGAACCGGTAAAGCATTGAGTCCACCCTGTTTTATGCATGATGGACAATGGTTCTTTTCCCTGATTTCCATGCAGATCTTTCATTTTTTTTCTTACTGTTTGTTAATTTGTTCGGATCATTTTATTTCGTATAGGTCGATTGCTCACAACGATTTCTCTGGACCAATTCCAAAGGAGATTGGAAATCTTAAGGAGCTATATATGCTGTAAGAATTGGTTATCTTACAATATGTCTAGCTTTTGACAGGAAGTTTACTGCAACGTTTACTTACCATGGTACTATTCTGCAGGTCTTTTGGTAATAATAATTTCTCTGGAACATTGCCTCCAGAAATTGGTAATTTGATCAACCTTCAACAACTGTAAGTTCTTTGTCTTGTTCTTTGTATGGGGATGTTCATGATTGTGTTTACAGGTGACCCTATTAAATTATGACAATGACTGGTTTATGACTTTGGCAGATACATTGACAGCTCTGGTTTGGGTGGTGAGATTCCCCCAACATTTGCTAACCTTGGAAACATGCAAACTGTGTAAGAAAGACCCTTGTCTTAATTTTAAGCCCTTTTATATCTCCTGATCCTGTAAATTTTCTTGCCATATTAACAGTAAGCATTTTTGAATTTCAGATGGGCATCTGACAATGCATTCACAGGAAAAATACCAGACTTTATTGGCCAAAACTGGACAGAGCTTAGAGAATTGTAATTCATCAAATCATCTTGGTTATAATCTGCATATATGTTCTTTCTGAATCAGACATCAGGAAGGATGAATAGCTTTGCCTATAATTTTTTCATCAGTTTGACTAGTATGTCAAATGTTTATACAGGAGATTTCAAGGGAACTCCTTTCAAGGACCAATTCCATCCAGTTTTGCTAATTTAACCTCATTGACTACTTTGTAAGCAGAGATATCTTGCATTCGTGATAATCTCCCGCTACTGCAGCACTCTCTTCCTTTTCTGCATATTCATGCAGGATGCATGTATGATGTATACACATACTTATTTATATGCTCGTGTATCATGTAGGCGACTTGGTGATATATACAATGGGAGTTCTTCTCTTGATTTCGTAAGAAATCTAGAGAACTTGACTGACTTGTGAGTTAAACATACTCTATACTTTTTGAATTCATCTGTTTTCCTTAAAAAAAGATCATGATTTTTCTAAATTTATGGAACTAATATATTTATTTTTCCGATCTTTTGATTTCCTATAGGGTTTTAAGAAATGCCATGCTCACTGGTATTTTTCCACCTTATATCACGGATTTACAATCTTTACAAAATCTGTAAGTTTTATCTAAAAGTTAACTGCATAAGTAATTTATGAATATTCACTTGTTTCATGTATCTAATTCCATTTTGTTCCAGGGATTTGAGTTTCAACAACTTAACAGGCACAATTCCAATTGCTTTGTTCACTATGAATTCTCTCCAACACTTGTAAGCAACAAAAAAATTCAAAATCTCTGCTTAAGATTCGTGGTTTTCACTTGACATTATTCATGTCTTTCATGCAATTGAAATGGTCAGGTTTCTTGGAAACAACAGTCTATTAGGTTCCATTCCAAGCCAAAAGAGTGATACACTTCAGACCATGTACTTCATTCTATCTCACCAACTTATTTAGTGAACCATCTGAATGAAAAAGCAGTTAAATTTTCCTGATTCTGGCAATTTGTTCATACTCCACACTCACTTTCTGCTAATATACTTGTATACGCAGAGATTTATCATACAATTTACTATCGGGAAACTTGCCTTCTTGGGTAAACTCAGGCTTACAACTGTATGTATCTTCAACCAGGATACTTCCTTTACTTTCCTTTGCTTTCTAGATTTTAACACCATTAAGAGCTTGTTTCATGGAATTTTATGTAGGAACCTTGTGGCGAACAACTTCACACTTAACAGCTCAAGCAGAAGGTGAGTTACCGCCCTGCAGCACCCGATTTCCCCCTCCTAAACTTTCTTGAAAGAGTTCTTGTGCCTCTATGAAAACAAATGCTTCATGTTATATCTGCTATGTAGTGCATTGCTTTAAAGTTTCTAATTTCGAAATTGTTTTGAAATTCCACAGGCTTTTACCAGGGTTAGAGTGCCTTCAAAGAGGCTTCCCATGCAATAGGAATGCTCCACGATGTACTAGCTTATACTTTGGACCCAGTATCTGTTGTTGAGGTCTTGATTATAAGATTTAATCAAGACCAATGCTTGATGCTTTACTAACATATTTCATTGTCGACATCGGCAGATGCAAACTTCTCGATCAAGTGTGGTGGATGGCAGATGACATCTAGTGGAATACTATTCGAGGCTGAAAATAGCACGCTTGGCGCTGCAACGATAAACGTAACCAGCACACAGAAATGGGCAGTTAGCAATGTAGGCTTGTTTGCAGACAGACAGAACCAACAGTATGTGGAAAACACTTTGTCACAAATAAGAAGTACCAACACTCCGGAGCTGTATCAGACTTCAAGGCTATCCCCTGGATCACTCAGATACTATGGCCTAGGCCTTGAGAATGGAAACTATACTGTAAACTTGTTCTTTGCAGAAACTGGTTTCCCGGACCGAACCACACGGACTTGGAAGAGTCTAGCAAGGAGAGTTTTCAATGTTTATATTCAGGTAATGTTTTGTTTAATGAAGAATTCCATTCCATTCTAATCCTGTATATCATTTGTTCCTTCCATTCCCCCTATCTGCAGTGTTTTCACACTTAGAAATACTTATTGGTATAATGATTTTTCAGGGAACTTTACAATTAAGAGATTTTGATATATCAAAGGAGGCTGGTGGGGTTTTGAGAGCAATAACTAGGAATTTCACTGTAAATGTAACTGAGAACCATCTTGAAATTCACCTGTTTTGGGCTGGTAAGGGGACTTGCTGCACACCAGAACAAGGCTATTATGGTCCATCCATTTCCGCCATTAGCGTTACTCCGAGTAAGACATTTTGACACTTGTGAATTGTATGCTTTAATGTGTTTATGTTTAGTTTTCTGTTTCTAATACATCTATTATGTGTCTCAGATTTCAGACCAACTGTCAGCGGTATACCGCCGGGAAATCCTAAGGAGAAGAACCACACAGCATTGATTGCTGGTGTCACAGTTCCTGTTGTGGCATTGGTTTTGATCCTAATATTTGCAATCATTTATGCGAAGAGAAACACCGAAGACGAGGACGAGGAATGTAAGAACATCAGTTTTTACAATAAAATGCATATCACATTTCCAATTACAACCTACCGATTGCCTTATTTGACTCTGCAGTGCTGCTTGGAATCAGTCCTAGACCAAACACATTTAGTTATTCTGAGTTAAAAGCCGCTACCGAAGACTTCAGTCCTTCAAAGAAGTTAGGAGAAGGGGGGTTCGGACCTGTATACAAGGTAAACGATGTCTAACGATCTTAGCATGCTTAATATGATTATAGCTTGCCAATCAATGATGATTATGCTTTAGGGTACACTTCATGATGGGAAAGTTGTAGCTGTGAAGCAACTTTCTCTAGCATCAAACCAAGGGAAAGAACAATTTGTTACCGAGATAGCTACCATATCAGCAGTGCAACATCGTAATCTTGTCAAACTATACGGCTGCTGCATCGGAGGAAATCGGCGCCTCCTCGTTTACGAGTATCTTGAGAACAAAAGCCTTGATCAGGCACTCTTTGGTATGAGAACATTGTAATATGATACTATATTTTTTTCTCATTTCTGGTTAATGAAACAACTGTTTGAGATTCCTTACACTATAAATGCAGGAAAAAATGACTTGCATCTTGATTGGCCAACACGCTTCAATATTTGCTTATCAACTGCAAGAGGGCTAACTTATCTTCACGAGGAGTCTAGACCGAGATTTGTTCACAGGGATGTCAAGGCAAGCAATATTTTGCTTGATGCAGAGCTCCGCCCAAAGATATCTGATTTTGGATTGGCGAAACTTTACGATGACAAGAAAACACACGTCACAACTCGCGCTGCCGGAACAATGTAAGACCTTTCAACGTTTTTGTTCATGAGTCCTGCCTCAGTAGCATGTAATTTCTGTTCCCAAATTGCTAGATTTAGAAGTTTTATCAGTAAACATTATTCACCAATGTGATGTGATTATCTTGAAGTGGCTACCTAGCACCGGAGTATGCAATGCGCGGTCATCTCACGGAGAAAGTCGATGTTTACGGCTTCGGTGTCCTCGCTTTGGAGATCGTAAGCGGCAGACCAAACTGTGACAACGCCTTGGAAAATGAAAGAATTTATCTTCTTGAATGGGTAATCCGCAAGTAAATCTTTCCATTTTGAAGTAAAAATTGTTCAAGAACCGTATTACTAATTTGCTTGTACAATGCCCCTAGGCCTGGACACAACATGAAAACAACCAACCCTTGAGCCTGCTTGATCCAAAACTAGTGGAGTTCGATGAAGACGAAGTTCGACGAGTGATAGGGGTGGCACTTCTATGCACCCAGACATCGCCGTCGATGCGGCCGCCGATGTCCCGTGTTGTCGGTATGCTTGCAGGAGATTTAGAAGTAAGCAATGCTACAACAAAACCAAGTTATGTAACGGACTGGGTTTATAAGGATATAACAGGCAGCTTCCGGAATGATGAATCACAAACGTCAGATCACAGCAGCAGCGACAACATGAAGAAGAAGAATAGTATTTCAGGTGAAGGTGGTCAACCAATTCCCTCTCCAATTAATATTACGGGATTCAATGAGATTATCGGAGAAGGAAGGTGATACATGTCTGTGCCATGCTTGCTATAGTACCATATCAGAGTATCTTTAGAGGGGGGGAAAACACAGAATTTAAGCTGTTTCTTCAACTCTGCTAAATTCATTAGTCCAAACTCCAAGCTAATGAATTTATTCGAATAAACAGATGTTTTTGTTTATTTAAATACTTGGTAATTAGAAATGTGAAAATCATATGCTAAAGTTGTATTGCTACGGTAAGTTTTGTACACAACAAGACAACCTACGCATCTATTTGAATAAGTGATTTCAATAAAAAATAAATTTTCTTTAACTATTGAAGCCACTCATCCAATTTTAGTTAACTTGTTTTGTCAAACACACATATATATATATATGGAAAGTTATTTTAGTTTATATAAATTTAAGACTCTTCGTCGAATAAAAATAGATTGCTGAGATTAATTTGTTTTTAAACTAAATATCTTTCTATTTCATATTATTAATTTAAAACGTATATTTCATTTATTAAATAATCATAATTTTACGTGAACTAAAGAATTTTACATTTCCTAATAAAATCATATCCAATCCTATATATATCATGACACTGACATGATTGGGAAGAATTAGTGAATGGATTATGAGCTGTACGTACAGAGCCAACCTAACGAACCAAAACTGTTGGCTTGACTTTCATCTCAGTCCACCTTCTACCCATTAAAATAATAAAATTTTGGCTTATAAAATTATAATACTATAAAATATGCTGGTACGATATTTTGTTTTTGAATTTTCATGTTATTTATCTTTCTTTTCTTTCAACAGTTCATATATCATTGAGCTGCAACTGAAAAAAACAATCACTAGTCTACTACCGCTTGATCCATTTTAATATATTTATATTTCGTTAATCCATGAATAAATCATCAGGTTACGTAAAAGATTGGGAACGGAATGCATGCAGTGGGGTCAAAGACTAATTAAGAGATGAGAAAATTCAACTATCAGCCGCCAGAGTAAACATATTTGTGCCACGTGCAGGAGATGTGTCTAATGTTTACCTCGACTAAACATAGTCGTAGGTGGCAGGTTCACATTGTTCAAAGGTTTAATTAATCAATTCCACCCTTCCTGCTTTTAAGCTGAAAAAAATTAGATGGTAAAATATATAATCATTAAATTACACTAAAACAATTTTTTTTATTTTCAAATTTATTGAATTATTATAAAACATCATTGTATGTTTTAAAATAGAGATAAATTTTAATAAATTTTAAAAAATAATTTTATAATGATTGAATGACTATATTGTAATCATTTGAGAAGTTTAATGATAATTTTATAAAATTTAATGACTTTTTATACCTTGTAAAATTTTAACCAAATGTTTTCCCAATTACAATGTGAAACAGATGAGTTGCGGATGTCAAAGTCGGAGATGAGCCGCCAAAAGAGAAGGAAAATGTTTTGACAAATCCGGACGTTGGGACCCATCTCGTTTCGCCTGTCTTTTACTTTCTTGGGCTAACCTTCCCAATTCATCAAGAGCTCTCGAATTAAGATTAACTATTGAATTAAAAATCAACGCTTCTTTTTTTCTTTCGATTCCAATATTTCATACCGACTCATTTGAATCAATCGTGTTCTGATTTTGGTGTTTTTGGTTGGTGAAACTCAAGTCTCAAAGCATTATTAATGTTAGTGGACTTTGATTATTAATATTATTCCAGCCTGCGGCAATCCTGTTTTACTACAACACCACTTGAGCTAAGCGTCAAAAGAAAATTGATAAATTAAGTTTGGGTAAAACTTAAAAGCTCCAAGCTTTCATTGGCTCATTGGCTGGAGTAGATCTTAAAGCTGTAACTGGTGACGATAAGCAGCCGTATGCCCAATTCCGATAACCTTTCTGTGAAGAAAGGAAAAACCACGACTTCGATGAAGCCACCGCTGTCTTCTTCAAACCGCTTGCTATGCTTCTTCTGGGTTGTTTTCTTTTTGTTCAGCCAATCCGTTAATGCCCAGAACGCCACCACCGTTCCTTCTGAAGGTACTTTCTCCCTCCCTCCCTGTGTGTATATATATTGTTGATGAGAATAAATTTATCTCGTAGATCTTTGACAATTCTGGTTTAAACGGAGAGCTGCACTCGGTAAAGACTCAGCCATGAGCCGGAGTTGACTGTATGAGAAGAGGGAATGGAGATATAAGAAGATGAACACTGTGTGTGAGAGAGCAGGAAAAGAGAGACTCTTCTCATACTGATCATTGATCAATCCCAATTCACGGTCGAGTCTCCACCGGCTGTGGTTCTTCGTCCAAATCAGACCAAACTTGTTCCCATCAATATCGATACATATGTAACAATGAACATTATTGATTATGGGGGAAAAGCTGTAGTGATTATGATCGGTTTTGAGTTTGATAAACTCTGGTACATGTTTGACAAAATGCCAATATCTATTTTAGAATGGAACGAATGATTTAATGGGAGATTGTTTCCTCTTTTCTGAATAGTTAATTTTTTTGGGGATAAATGGTAATCTACTAATATGAATTTTTGTTTTCACCAACTAATTTCTGAATGGGAAAACAGTGAGGGCATTGAACACAATCTTCCAAAGATGGGATATACAAGCACCGGATACATGGAACATCAGCGGAGAGCCATGCACTGGAACTGCTCTCACGACAAGTTTTTCTGTGTTTGAGGATCCTTCCAATAACCCTGGTATTAGATGTGATTGTTCTTTCAACGATAGCACTGTTTGCCACATCACTAGCTTGTATGCTTCCTGCTCTCTCACGCTTGTGCAATATTTTTTAAGCCATTACTATTATTATAGTATAGCTGTTAAATTAAGCAAGGTTTATAAGCAGCAACAAAAAAAACTTCATTATCAATGGCCTTTATGAGAAGTCAAATAATAATATCGTCTGTACTAACTCTTATACATGCTTTTAAACACTTTTATCAGGAGGGTATTTGGTCTAGATAGACGAGGAGTGATACCAGAGGAGCTTTTGGAATTTCCTTATCTGGATTTCTTGTAAGAATGTTCTTCTTCTCACTTTGATATTGATAAGTCAACAATCATCTTGTGATTTTGAATGTTTTCCAAATGAATACAGATTTAAAAATGGTTACAGCATGCTTTTAGTTATGGAAAATGATTAGTTTTTCAGTAACTGTTCTAATAATTTATATTGTTTGGTGATGCAGGAAGATCGATAGAAACTTCTTCTCTGGTCCTTTGCCACCATTCCTTGGAAATTTGTCTAGATTAGGGTTACTGTGAGTACTCGAATATAATCTGATAAAAGCATTTCATTTTTCGTAGACATTATCTGTCTTTGTTGGTTTTCAGGCCTTATGAACAAGTTCCCAAATAACAGTTTTAAGAATTAACAGCATCATAGAAATGCAGAACATGTATAGGCTGCTTTTTTATGGTTCAATTGGTTTTTTCATGAACTTCCTAATCCCATACATGTTATTTCTAATCTGATACTTCACTTCGACTCAATACGATTATGGACTTGTATATGTATTTGAGCTTTAATTTTTGAAAAGTATTTTTCATATATTTAAAGAGTCCGTGTAGGATCATATCTCCATAACCATGTCTGAGAAATAAAGAGTTGAACCAACATAAGTAGTAGGTTTAAATATGAGGTTATCTTCTCTATCTTTCTAACTAATGACTAGAGGAACTCAAACTTAATCTAATTCCTTGCCCTTCAAGATGGCTAATTTGAAATGAAGGTGTATCATTTAAGTGTCAACTCCACTCTGCTTTATATATGACAGGCAATGGTTCTTTTGACATACTGGAATAATAAAGCATTATATTCCCTGATTTTTGTATATTTTCACTAATACTGTTTGCTAATTTATTATATTCAAGAATACACCTTTCTTTGGATTATTTATTTATTTAAATTTGTATAGGTCAATTGCACAAAATAATATCACTGGACCCATTCCAAAGGAGCTAGCAAATTGCCAGAAGCTATATCTGCTGTAAGAATTGAAGGAACTCTCAACAAATTCTTTTTGTCACCGTTATAAAGGAGAAATTAGTTCTGTTGTTAAGCAAACATTTTCTTGTAAAATTGGGTTTCTTTCATGTTTCTCAAAAAAATTATGTCTTGATCAATACCATGCAGGTCTTTGGGTAATAACAATATCTCTGGAACACTTCCTCCAGAACTAGGTGATTTAGTCGAACTTGGAGAACTGTAAGTTCTAACTTCAATTTTTTTTAGGGGAAGTGTATGATTGTGTTAACAGGTTGCCCTTGAAATTAAAACAACATTTGGTTTATGAATTTGGCAGATACATTAACAGTTGTGGATTGAGTGGTGAGATTCCCTCAACATTTGCTAACCTTAAAGAACTGCGAACAATGTATGAAAGACTCTTCTCAATGCTTATTTATCTTTTCTCTCTTCTAGTCCTGCCAATTGCCTTAATTACCTAAAATTCCTTACCTTACCATAACAACAGTAAGCTCTGTTGAATTTCAGGTGGGCATCTGATAATGCATTCACAGGCAAAATACCGGACTTTTTTGGTAACTTGACAAAGCTCACGACATTGTACGCAATTCATCAAAACATATCTTAATACAAGTTCTCTTCGAATCCACATCAAGATGGATAACTTTGCCTAGATTTTTCATCAGTTTGACTAGTCTGTCGAATGTTTATATAGGAGATTTGAAGGGAACTCTCTTGAAGGTCCAATACCATCCAGTCTTGGAAATTTAACCTCATTGACTTCTTTGTAAGTAAATATATCTTGCTTTCATGATAGCCACCATTGAACTCTCTCCCTTTGTCTGCATGTTCATGTATGTATGTACACACATAATTTTTTTTATGCTCGTATATCATGTAGGCGAATTGGTGATATATACAATGGGAGTTCTTCTCTCGATTTCATAAGAAATCTAAAGAATTTGACTGACTTGTGAGTTAACCATACTTCACTTCTTGTATTATCTGTTTTCTTTTTTGGAAAAAAGATGGAATTCTTTTATCTAAATTTATGAGATTGGAATTAAGATATTTATTTTCCTTTTCTTTTCATTTCCTATAGGGTTCTGAGAAATGTCATGCTCACTGGTAGTTTGCCTTCTGATATCACTGAATTGCAATCTTTACAAAAGCTGTAAGTTTTATCTTAAAGTTAACTGCTTAAGTAATTTATGATATTCACTTGTTTCATGTCTCTAATTCCGTTGTCCCAGGGATTTGAGTTTCAACAACTTAACAGGCACAATTCCAACTACTTTGTTCACTATGAATTCTCTCAGATACTTGTAAGCAACAAAAAAATTCAAAATTTCCGCTTAAGATTCGTGGTTTTCACTTGACATTATTCATCTCTTTCATGCAATTGAAATGGTCAGGTTTCTTGGAAATAACAGTCTATCGGGTTCCATTCCAAGCCAAAAAAGTGATACACTTCAGACCATGTACGCCATTCTATCTCACCAACTTATTTAGTGAACCATCTGATAGAAAAAGCAGTTAATTTTTCTTGATTCTGGCAATTTATTCATATTCCACACTCATTTTCTGCTAATATACTTGTATATGCAGAGATTTATCGTACAATTTTCTATCAGGAAACTTGCCTTCTTGGGTAAACTCAGGCTTACAACTGTATGTATCTTAAACCAGTAAACTTCCTTCACTTACCTTTGCTTTCTAATTTTGACACCACTTTGTAGCTTATGGCTTTTTTGGTGCTCATTTGGAGCTTACTTTCTTATTGTTAATAATATCACACTGTAAAAAAGTAATCAGTTGCAAATCAATACCAATAAGAGCCTGTTTCATGGAATTTTATGTAGGAACCTTGTGGCCAACAACTTCACACTTAACAGCACAAACATAAGGTGGGTTATCCTCTCTCAGCACCTGATTTTCTCTTCTCCTAAACTTTCTTGATAGGATTCTTTTACCGATATGAAAAGAAATGCTTGCTACTATCTCTTCTATGCAATGCATTCTTTTAACGTTCCTAATCAGAAAACTGTTTTGAATTTCCTCAGGCGTTTACCAGGATTAGAATGCCTTCAAAGAAGCTTCCCATGCTTTAGAAATGCTCCACGATGTACTAGCTAAAACTTTGGAACCAATATCTGTTGTTGAGGTCTTAATTCAAAGATTTAATCAAGACCAATGCTTAACGATTTGCTAACATATTTCAATGTCGGCATTGGCAGATGCGAACTTTTCAATTAAGTGTGGTGGAGGACCGATGCTATCTGATAGGATATCATTTGAGGCTGATAATAGCACACTTGGCCCAGCGACATTTAATGTAACCAGTGCACGGAGATGGGCAGTTAGCAATGCAGGCTTGTTTGCAGAAGCACGAATTCAACAGTTTGTGCAAAACTTCTTAGGACAAGTGAGAGATACCAACAACCCGGCACTGTATCAGACTTCAAGGCTATCCCCTGGATCACTTAGATACTATGGCCTAGGCCTTGAGAATGGACCCTATACTGTAAGATTGTTCTTTGCAGAGACAAGCTTTCCAGAGCGCGCCTCACAGTCCTGGAGGAGTCTAGGAAGGCGTGTTTTTGATGTTTATATCCAGGTAATATTTCATTTGATGTAGAAATTATTACCATTCTAAGCTGTATATAATTCATTCCATTCCTCTTGTTTGATGTGTTTCTACAATCACAATTATGTTCACATGATTTTACACTAAGTACATATTGCTATAATATCTCATCAATGCTTCATCAGGGAACCCGACAATTAAGGGATTTTGATATAGCAAACGAGGCTGGTGGTGTCAATAGAGCAATAACTAGGAACTTCACTACTAATGTAACTGAGAACCATCTTGAAATTCACCTGTTTTGGGCTGGTAAGGGGACTACTGGCACACCTGAAGATGGTACTTATGGTCCAGCCATTTCAGCTATTAGTGTTGTTCCAAGTAAGCCACCTTAAACACTTTTGAATCCCATGTTATATATCCTTCACGTGCTTATCTTCTGTCCTGTCTTTCTAATACATCTATTCTGCTCCTCAGATTTCATACCAACTGTTAGTGGGATACCACCAAGCAATCCTAAAGGGAAGAGCCACACAGCATTAATTGCTGGTGTTACAGTCCCAGTTGTGGCATTGGCTTTGATACTTGTATTTGTAAGTATTTATGTGAAAAGAAGGAGAGAAGATGATGACGAGGAGGGTAAGAGCATTAGATTTATCATAAATTTTATATATATATATATATACGATTATTCATCACATATCATAAAAAAGGTGTATCTTTTCATCTCTGTCCAATATCAGTGGATTAGTTCATATGAAAAGACCCCAATACCAGAAAAATTATTCTTCCTTCAAACGGGGATGCTTAGCAAAGTTCATAAGATTTTTAAAGAAATATCTAATCATGATAATCGGATATATTAGAGAAGGGTTTTTTTAATAAATGTTACTAATTGCCTTATTTGACTCTACAGTGCTTCTTGGCATCAGCCCTAGGCCAAACACATTTAGTTATTCTGAGTTGAAAGCTGCCACCGAAGACTTCAGTCCTTCACAGAAATTAGGAGAAGGTGGGTTCGGACCTGTGTACAAGGTAAACAATATCTAACCTTTTTAGCATGCTAAATTTCTTGCCAAAGGGTGATGAGATTACCGAAGAGAATGATTTATTACACAATTTTACTAAATCGTAGTATGCTTTAGGGTACACTTTCTGATGGGAGAGTTGTAGCTGTGAAACAACTTTCAGTAGCATCAAACCAGGGGAAAGAACAATTTGTTACTGAGATAGCTACCATATCAGCAGTGCAACATCGTAATCTTGTCAAACTATATGGGTGCTGTATCGGAGGAAATAGGCGTCTTCTTGTTTACGAGTATCTTGTGAACAAAAGCCTTGATCAGGCACTTTGGGGTATGCAGACAATCTAATTTACTAATTTTGATGCTCTTCATTATTTGTTGACTAATGAACAATTCAATGAGACTAGTTGCACTAAAATGCAGGAAAAGATGTTCTGCATCTTGATTGGCCAACCCGCTTCAATATCTGCTTATCAACTGCAAGAGGGCTAGCTTATCTTCATGAGGAGTCTAGGCCAAGGATTGTTCATAGGGATGTCAAGGCAAGCAATATCTTGCTTGATGAGGAGCTCTGCCCAAAGATATCTGATTTTGGATTGGCAAAGCTTTATGATGATAAGATAACACACGTCACCACTCGTGCTGCTGGAACCATGTAAGACCTTTCAACCTTTTTGTTCATGGGTTCTGCCTTAGCAGAATATAATTTATATTCCCAATTTTCTAGATTTAGTAGTTATATTAAAGAACATATTCACCAATGCAATGTAATTATCTTGAAGTGGCTACCTGGCGCCGGAGTATGCAATGCGTGGGCATCTTACAGAGAAAGTCGATGTTTTTGGCTTTGGTGTTGTTATTTTGGAGATCGTGAGTGGTAGACCAAACTCATATAATACCACAGAAAATGACAGAATTTATCTTCTTGAATTGGTAATCCAGAAGCACACCTTTCCCTTCTGCAGCACTATTTGTTTGAGGAAATTATTAAATATGATTATTAATTTGTTCCTACAATGTCTCTAGGCATGGACACTGCATGAAAATAACCAACCATTGAGCCTGGTTGATCCAACATTAGCGGAGTTTGACGAAAATGAAGCTTTCCGAATGATAGGGGTGGCACTTTTATGCACTCAGGCATCACCATCAATGCGGCCGCCTATGTCCCGTGTTGTCGGTATGCTTGCAGGAGATATTGAAGTGAACAATGTTACAACAAAACCAAGTTATATAACTGACTGGGATTTCCAAGATATAACAGGCACCTTTGTGGATGAAGAAACACAAACATCCATTGCCTCCGATCAAAGCAACATTGACATCAAGAGTAAGAACAAGACTACTTCGGGGGCGGATAATCAACCAATACCCTCCCCAGTAAATATTACTGAATTCAAGGAGAGCATTGGAGAAGGAAGGTGAGAATTGATTGTTCATCATTTCTATACCGAGTGAGTTGTTTTGTAATATACGCATAACAATATTATAAACTTCATCATATACTGAAATGTACAATAATGTTCATTGTTTTTTTTCTGTAGATGCATTTTAAGATTAAAAATCTCCTTTTATCTTTTGTTTGTAAGCAAACAATTAAGTTTTTGAGAAAGATAACAAATGTTTTGTTCATTAAAATACTTGGTAATTTGACATGTGAAATGACATGCGAAAATTGGGTTGGTGTGGGAAACTTTGTACATGATTGACTCCATCTTATTCTTAGGAACATCGTCACATGTGAACTATATTATATTATGGGAGTTGCACAAACCAATTAAATTAGATCGCTTAATACCTTAATGAAATATATTAATTTGTTCTTCGGTTAAATAAAACAATAAGTATGGAATAAATTATTCGATCAATTGTAAACTTGAGTAAAATAGAGAAAACAAATGCCAAGGAGAAAAGAACCGGACAGCACTGACTGTTGGTATTACAGTTTCTGTTGTGGTCTTGTCTTTGATACTTAGATTTGCCATTATTTACATAAAAGAAAAGAAGAAGATGAGGAGGAAGGTAAGAGCATCAGTTTTATCCCAAAATATATATTATATAATAATAGTATTCCATCAGAAAACGGTGCATCTTTAGATGTATCTTCAATATCAATGTATTAGTTTACATGGAAAGACCCCATTAACAGAAAAGAGAAGACTACTCGGCAAAATTCATAAATCTTGAAGAAAATATCTAATCATGGTAATTGGTAACATAATATGAGAGAAGGCTGATAATCGCATTTCATTGCTCCTACCTAGAGCCTACTAATCGACATATTTGACTCTACAGTGCTTCTTGGTATTTCCAATAGACAAAATACATTTAGTTATTATGAGTTAAAAGCTGCCACCGATGACTTAAGTCCTTCAAACAAGTTAGGAGAAGGGGGTTTTGGAGCTGTCTACAGGTATAATATGTTTAATAGTTTTCCAGGATGACTTCAGTCCTTCATATAGGGTACATTATCAGATGGGAGGGTGGTAGCTCTGAAGCTACTTACAGTAGCATCTCACCATGGAAAGAGTCAATTTATTCGCTGAGGTAGCCACCATTTAAGCAGTGCGACATTGCAATCTTGTCAAATTACATGGATACTGTATCAAAGGAAAAAGGCATTTTCTTGTTTACAAATATCTTGAAAACAAAAGCCTTGATAAAGAACTCTTTGGTATGATCACACTAATAAATCTTTCATGCTTTAACTGTTTGAGCTTTGGAACCATAAAACTTAGGGAGAATCGTTCTGAATTTCATGATTAGCAAATGCAAGATTATTTTTTTTATTTTTTTTCATTCCTCAGTCTTTTCTCTATAAAATGAGATGATGAGAATTTCAAATTTCCATTGCTGATTAGTCATTATTGAACAAATTGACAAGGTTTTTGACACTTTATGCAGGAGGTAGCTACATGAATTTTGATTGGCCAACCCGCTTCAACATCGAAACTGCAAGGGGGTTAGCTTATCTTCAAGAGGAGTCTAGGCCAAGGATTGTACACAGAGATATTAAGGCAAGTAATATTCTGCTTGATGCAGAATTGTGCCCCAAAATATCTGATTTCAGATTGGCAATGCTATATGATGACAAAAAAAATGCAAATGAGTACAAAGATTGCTGGAACTATGTAAGCCTATTTAGACTTAAGTTCATATATTGTTCTGGAAACATGTAAACCAAGTACTAGATATAGTACTTTTATCTGTAAACGCTAGCAATGTGATTTAATTTATGCTGAAGGGGCTACCTGGCGCCGGAGTATCGTTACTTTGGAGATTCCCAGTGGTAGGCCAAACTTTGATAATTAGCTTGGAGGATGATAAAATCTATCTTCGAGCATGGGTAAGTATTAGGTAGACCCTTCTTTCATTTCTTGCACTCAAATGCTTTGCATTGGCCTCTAAAAGACCTGATTTATGATGAATGAGATACATTTTCTACAATATTTCCAGGCATGGGCTCTACATGTGAAAATAGTCAGAGCCTGGATCTGGTTGATCCAAATTTAGTTAAGTTTGATGAAAACGAAGCTCTCCGAGTGGCCAGGGTGGCACTTTTGTGCACTCAGGGATCACCATCGATGCAGCCACCCATGTCTCATGTTGCAGCTATGCTTGCTGATTATATTGAAGTGAGCAGTGTTATAACAAGACCAAGTTATCTTACTGACTGGAATTTCAGGGATTCAATAGGCACAGTTGTGACCGGGGATGCCCAGGGCCCGGGGTCAGCTCCAATTCCATCCGCAGTAAATGACAGTGATTTCAGTGACATTGCTGATGGAAGGTGAGAGGTTTTGTCCTTCCATACGTCTTTTTGTTGTCGAAAGAAAATCACTGACATGCAAACATACAATCATAATAAGAACATTTGGAATAAAAAAAAGGGTGTGTATCTTTGAGTTCACAGTATCCCATATTTAAAAATGCACGATTTAAGACCAAAGACAATTGATTTGAGATTATACGATTTAAGACCAAAGACAATTGATTTGAGATTATACGATTTAAGACGAAAGACACAATTAGTGATATTAGCAAAAAGCTAAGGGAGCTCAAAGGGAAATTACTCCCATATGAACTAATGAATAATGATGATATTAACAATGGCTGCTCGAGAACCCGGCAACAATCCTTAGCCACAAGGACAATGGATGCAAATTGCAAATTTGTCATTCAAAAAAAAATATAAGAAAAGCGTGAACGGCAGGATTCGACCCTGCGCGGGCAGAGCCCACATGATTTCATAAATTCTCAATTCACTATTTTAAATTGTAATTATTATTTCACTTTTCTAGTCACAGTGCTACCATCGCCAAATTTGTTTGAATAATGTGTTAAAGATAAAAATTGATCATATAAAATTCAGAAAATTTGTTTTTTATTAAGTTTTTTCTTATATTATTTGTTGAAATATGTTTGGATTATACGGCGATTATGATAATTTCTGAAAAATGTTTAGATTATCTCTTGATTACTAAAAGTTATTTATATTATTTGACGACTTTTGAAATGTCATTAACTATTTTCCCTATCTTGAATACATGATATTTTTAATAATTTTTTAATTTTTTAAAATTGTTAGATGATGCAAATGTCTTCTAAAAGTATCAAATAATCTAAATGTCTTCTACTCTAATTAAAAAAAATATTTTTTCACCCAAAAAAATATTTATTGAAGCAATTTTGCAGCTACCGACCAAAAGGAGAATTAGCCGTTACAGAGTTGAAACGTTGAGCTGAAGACCGTTGGCGAAAAATACTTCAAAAAGATCCCTACCCTGTAGCTCTGGCCCTCTTCGTCCACAGTCCACAACACCCTGCACACTAGAAGCCTCTCCATTATTTAAGAAGCTAAACCCGAATCCTCTGAAAGAGGAAACAAACAAGAATATTTACAGACACAGAAATTTTGGGAAAATAGTTGGAAGTTCAAGATGGGTATGGTTATAGTCATCTCTCTGCCACTGATTTTCTTCTGCATATTACTTGGTGCTGGATGTTTCTTCTTTGGAAGAGCTAAAGGCCGCCAAGATTTCCTCACCAATCCTCAGGTTTACGGTGTCCCAGCTTCGCCGCCCGGAGCGGCAACCACCTCTTTCCCATCTCCTCCACGTACAAAGCCCGACAGTTTATCCAATGTTTGATAGTGTCATCTCAGATATTTGCTTGCTCTTTTTGTTTTCATTGATTACATGCGTGCGTGTGAGATTTTTCAAGATACTGGTTGTAAATTGGTTGAAATATAAATCAATAAGATTTATGGAAGCTATAAATCGACAAGATGTTACAGAAAGAACAATGCTAGAGAATTATGTGTTTGTGTATTCATTCCTAAGTGCCATAAATCTGCAAAAAAAAAAACAGAGTAAAAAGCTGTAAGAGAATTTAATTTACGTGCCTTAATTACTAAACTGTGTTACAGATCAGGGAGTTAGCTTGATTATTTGCAGCTTGCGGACTCTTCCTTTCACCAGTAGATCCTTACCATCTCAATGAATTGTCAACCTCACTGTTAAAACTATATAGGTATAGCCTTGTTTAAAACTGCGTCGAGATCTATACAGAATAAACCATTCCTACTTCAATAAGAGACGTGTGTGGAATCCCGAGGGCTGTGGCCGGGTGCCTGCAGTTCTGTCTCAAGAACCCGTAGACGAAGTTTATGACAAACTTCTTCAAATATGAAGATGTGTCGCTTGCCAGAACACAAGTGCTACCCATCATATATACCAGACCAGATTCCTTTGCCTCTTTCAGATCTTCCAGTTCCTTGCTACATCCCAACAACGAAATCTCACTGTTTTCTTGCTCGTTCCGGTATTAACTCCACTCTCAAGACTCGAAGCAGTTACATCGTTGAGAGGGATTGATTGCTGCTGATTTACAGGTTCCAACCTGAATGCTTCACTATCATTGTTGCCACGCTGTAAAAACTCTGCAACGGTTTCAATCAGTTGATTCTCAAAATCATGACTATCCTTCCTTTTGTCCTTGTAACCATATCTAACAACACATTGAAAGAGACAGAGGTCGAGTGGGCCAATACGACTGATAACAAACCGCAGATTGGCAGGAACTTTTGGGACTGTAAGAGATTGCACAGTAACAAATATCAGGATATGATGGATGGCAGGAAAGTTGGTGACAAAATGAGAAAACATTGGAGGAGGCCCTGTGGCCACATTTGAGTAGATTAAGCCTATTCCAGGAACGCGATTTATCCCAAGGTTTGGACCCATACTTAGAAGCATGTCCAAGCTGACCTTGTTGTTCGACTCATATGCCTGTTTCTTTAGAGTACCATAGTGCCATACGCACATCGTAGACAGTACTATTAGCGAGAACATAAGTGGAAACCAACCCCCCTTTTGAACTTTTGCCAGGCATGCAGAGAAGTAAAGCAATTCCACAGATCCAAAAACGATGACAAATAATAAAGCTTCTAAAATATTCCTCTTCCACACCATGACAACAACCAGAAACATCAAGCAGGTGGTAACCAGCATTACAACGATAACAGCAAGACCTAAAACAAGAATAGCAACAAGTCAAAAGTGAATGCGAATAAGCTGCAGGGAAAAGAGAGATATAAGAGATAGTGCGCTCCAAGATTGTACCATATGCATTGCCTATCATGTCTGTATCCCTATACCCAACCACAACAGCAAGGCATAAAACCATCAATATCCAATTCGCCTCTGGTATGTAGATCTGCCCATGTATGTGGTTTGATGTGTGTACCACCTTGACACGTGGGAAGAACTTCAAAGCCCTACACTGGCTGATAATTGAGAAAGTAGCAGAAATAATTGCTTGACTCCCAATCATTGTTGCAAGTGTTGCAATGATAAAAACTGGCCAGAATACAGCCTCTGCATAGAGAAGGGAGGAAATTTGATATGAGATTATGCTTCAACCCCCATGTACTATGTGATAGCCTCCTTAACATTCCTCTATTCCAGAAAAATAAATAAAAAGCAATAGCATCATCAACAAAAAGATTGTTATCTGATTGTAGAAGATATCTAAGCAGTCCAAACATCTTGTTTTTTTCCGCCCAGTTGTAGACCAGCCTAAACAGAAAGCTGTTAAACTTATTCAGCCTTCTATACCATAGACCTTTAAAACTTGATTGCTAATCTATATGGTGTACATGTGACTTGTGACCAAACATAGTAGATATCAAATTTACACAGAGAAATATCATGGGAACTCTCGAATTAAATATTACAAGACTTGTTCGTCGGATTTACCAGGGATTGATTTATAGAAGCTTTTCTGAAGGTCCTCTTTGTTCTTAGAGAGATAAGCAGCCTCGCCCATGTATGCCAAAACTAAGCAAGGGTATACGACAACAGTAAATGCAAGCTGTTCACCAGAAACTTATGTAAATATAAATCAAGAAAGCAGATCATAAATGTCATGCTTTGATAGGAAAATAGAGACGTAAAAGAAAATTCCCAAAGACTTCTATAACATTTGAGGCAAGCAAAATAGATAGGACGTTTCTAATTCTTTTCCAAATTATTCAAATCCAAGCACAGGGAATAACTTACCCGGATTGAAAGTTGGGAAAAATGACCAAGATCAGCAAACATGGCCTCAGCGCCTGATAAATTGCAAGAAGGAAATTCATCATTCTAAACAAAATTTAACTTAATTGGTAGAGGGTTAGCAAGAGAGGTGACTGGCGAACCTGTAATGCAAAGAACAACCCCTCCAAGTGAACTCCATCCATCTTTTCCGGCCTTTTTGAAAAAATTGTATACATAATATGGTGACAGAGCACGAACTACATGTGGGTTCCAGTATATGGTGTTGTAAACTCCAACAGTACTAATGCAAAAGAGCCATGCTAACAGAATAGGAGCAAAAAGAAACCCAACACTACGAGTCCCAAAATGCTGAAGTGCAAACAGCCCCACCAAAATCACACATGCAATAAACACAGTATAATCTGCATAAGAGAAGCTAAATTAAGTATATGCATATATATGTTCATCACAGGTTATACTATCTCCATTCAAAAGGGAGTTATAAAAACCCCTGTCCAAATGTGATTTTGCACTAAGCTTTTCCAGTAGATTTCCAAATAGTAACCGGAAATATGCTGGTGGGCTGACCTTGTAGATACATGTAATTAGGAACTCAGTGACTCTTGATCAATATAAGGGGGTTTCTACAATCTAAAGGGAGAGAGAAAACGCTGATTTGACTTACTCCCATGAAGATTAGGAGCCTTAACTTTGACACCATTAACTGCAGAAAGAACTGTATAAAAAATGCATCCCGTTAGTAAATGCCGGAGTTGATCATAAAGGAGTAGAAAAAAGTTCACAGATAAGTAAAGAAATGCAACTTTTATTATTAGTAAATCAATCAGCATGTGACACTCGTATTAAATTCCATACAGTTCATTTGCAAAGCAACATCAAATGCTCTGTAAAATATCTAACTTCCAGATTCATCCTTATGAAAATAATAAAGGAACTGTAGTTCTAAGTCATTGAGAGAGAGAGAGAGAGAGAATACCAGACATTGATGGGGTTAGGATGCCATCACCAATAACCATGCTAGTTCCCAACAGCACAAGTAGAAGCAGCACAATCTGAGAGCTACGATACTTATCAAAGAACTCTTTTAAAATAGAACTAGCTACAGTCTCCTTCCTGGATGGGCCATAGTTATATGCAGATATGTCATCATCAGGTGCATCGGAAGCACTCAAAAGGCCCAACTTTGCACGCCGGCAAAGCAATGAATATAAAGCAAAGGTTCCACCTGCAGGAATGAGGCCTCCTTCAGGAAATCATTACAAAGTGCGGATAATGTTTTCTCAATAAAAAAGTTAATAAAATATGCAGGTCTTTGAAAGCACCTTCACCATTATCATCTGCCTGTAACACAAATATAATGTACTTGCATAGAGGGATTAGAGTCAAAGTCCAGAAAACCAAAGACAGTACCCCAAGGATTTCATCATCTTCCTCGTGAAGTCTTAACCTCCCCAAAAATGTGCTTTTGAAGACATATATTGGTGAAGTGCTCAGATCACCGTATACAACTCCAAAACTCTGATAAGCTAGGCATAAAGTTGCCTTGTAAAATTTCTGCATGTAAAACAAACATCAAACACGTTAGAATTTCCTCATTCATTATCATTTTTTAACATAATAAAATGTTCCATGATTTAGATTTCTTCAATAAATGGATTATTAGTTGGGGAAAAGAAGCATGTTAACAAATTAACTGCAGGGAGCAATATATGGTTTTACGATTCTGGAATTCCAAATTTTCAAATAAATGTAAATATTTACTAAAACATGGTGCTAGGAACTAGCAGGAAAATAGAACAAACGGATAAGAAAAAAACAAATTTGATAAAAGTTGAATGATAAAGCAAAAAACAATAGTGAAATTTAAATGAAAAATAATTTCAAAATGCAACGTAAACTCAGCCAACTAATCACCTGTATTTCCCTTTGAATAACCTTTAGAAAAACACATATTATCAACATTAAAAAATCAGAATCTTATTATTTCCTTTCACGTTTTATCAGCAAACAAACAGAATCCAAAGGCAACAAACATTTGAATACTACAACCACCGCCAAAAAAAACCACCATCACCGAGACAACAAAAAAAGAAAGATAAAAACAGCAAAAACACAAATAAAAATCGAAAATTTGAAAGGTTAAAAAAAGTACCAGACGAGACTCCCGGGTCATGGACCCGGCTTCCGGATCCATAAAGCAATCTCTTTTTTCAACTGTTTTTTTTTTTTGCCTTTTACTAAGCAAAAACAGTTCCGAAATGGGTATTCTAAACAAAACCCTAAACTCAAAGGAGAAAAATCGAAGAAAAAAAGGGGCTTTTAAGATATTGAAGGAAGAAGTGTAAATGAGAAGAGAGGCAAAGAGTCTCTAAAATAGTGTGTGTGTGTGTGTGTTTTGTTAGGAGAGAGGAGAAAGATTAAGAATGAGTTGGATTGGGAGCGAAGTAGATAATATTAATAATAATAAAAGAAAAGGTGTCAATTAAGCCCGCCAATAAAACAAACAAACTTCTTCTGTTAGTTTATCTGTTCCCAAACAGCAAATCATCTCTTGGTTGGGATAAATTACATGTATGGTCATTAAATTATAGGCTAATATTCGATACCACTGAACTAAAATATTTGTCAATTAGACTACTTTA